TCTCCAAAATTTGTGAGAAAACTTACGAAACGCCTTCCTAGCATTCACTAAATTAAATGGCATTATGTTACAATCTGCACTACTTTCTTGTCTCCTTACAAAATCAAAAATGCTTTTTGATAATTTGCAAGTTTATTATTTTCTCAGTTTATTCTGTGGTTTCAAATCACTAGCAGTATGTTGGATTATGGTCATGAAAACCACATATCTACAATTTATGTATAATACACTATTGAATGGGAAGTACAGGTTTGTATGGCACATGGCGATCAAACTGCTGTACAAAAAAATGCTGTACAGAATGGTAAATAACAAAACACAGAAAGTAAAAACAAAATAACAAAATCTATGATTGAAATATGCAAGCTAAAGCAATGACTTGAGTTCACTCATAATTATCACTGACTGTGCTGTTCTCAAAGATTATTTCAGCAAGGATTTTGCTATGGATCTCCTATTTGCTTGCTTTACAAGTAAACATTTGCTGGGCTAATCCATTGTTCACAGAGTCTGTGGAAATTAGGGATGGCAGTACTTCAGGAGAAGACCTACTCCAAGCCAACGCACCAACATAAGATGAAATAAAGCTATTACATGCCACAAGTCATCTAATCTGTTCTTAAAAATCTCTAAGAGAAGAGCTTCCATTACATTTGTATGAAAGAATGTCCACATTTTCTTTCCACTTACAAATTCATTAGATTTGTAGTGGAAAAACTTTCACTTTTTTAATAACTAACCTAGTTATTCTTGGTAAAATTAAATTTACAATTCCTAGTCTTTCTCCAGTGGGCACTGGAATATAATTGATTATCGTCTTCTTTACAACAACATTTTATGTATTAGAAGACTTATGTCTCCCCTTTAGTACCTTCTAGACTAAACAAACCCAGTTCTTTAAGCTTTCCTATAGGTCATGTTCTCTAAAACTCCTGTCATTCTTGTTGCTCTATTTTTGTCCCTTTCTAATTTGTCTATCTTTCTTAAAGCATGGTGATCAAAACTATATACAGCTTTTCAGATGAGCTCTCATCAGTGCTTGAAAGAACAGTATAATTTCTTCCTGCTTCTTTTCCAGTATTACATCCATCCCAGAATTAGATCCAACTTCATCACAATGGTATTCCATTGTGCAATCCAGATTCCTTTTTCCATGCTATTGCCTCATTAGTACATGTGACTTCTCTCTTGTAAATGGACTTTGCTGAATTTCAGACTACTTATTCTAGATTTTCTCTCCACTTTGAGACTGGAGCAGCTTACTGAACAGTTTAACTGCTCCTACTATGCCTGCAGCTTCTTGCAGCTTTGTTCATCATCAATCTTCATGTTTTTTTCTATTTCATCACCAAAATAATTTCTACAAAACACTCCAGAGAAGCAGATAAAGGACAGACCTCTTTGGAACCCTGCTGTAACTGTCCCTCCTGTCTGAGAATGAGTAATAGAAAATTTGTCTGTAGCATGTTATTCGTATCAGTTGCACACCTATCTCATGGTGATTTCATAATTAAATTAAAATAGTATTATGCTTAGTTACAGCTTTTATTATTGTAATGCATTTTACATTACATGTTAATTACATCCCAAATTAATGTACTTATTTGTCTGTTACAGATATATGGTGGGACAGTGTTAAAGGCCTCATGAATTCAAAGTATGTCACAGCTATCACTTTCTTCTTTAGCCACAAAGCCAGTCACCCTATCAAAGGAAATCAGATTTGCTTGACATAATTTGGCCACAACAAATACAGGCAGACTAAATATAGGATGGGTATGCTTTGTAACAGTCATTTAGACCTGCATTCTGCTTTAGAGTGGCCCGAAACTGTCACCTAGGAAAGAGTGCAAGAATAAAGTGAGTACATAGTGATGAAGAATCTCATATCTTCAAGAATGTAATGTAAAAATAGTTTCTCTGGTCTAGAGTAGGAACCACCAGTTGATGATTAGGAAAAGAGGATATGGACAAAGCAAGTATAAAGTGATATGATATACACTGAGATGGACAGATAATGTCATACAGTCTGATACACACATCAAGCTACTAAAAATGAACAGTGAAAAGACTACTGGCTTTCTATTTATTCACTGATTAATGGTTTATTCCACAACTTTCCAGGGTCTAAAATAAAGTTATTCATAAATCCCCATACACCTTATTTCCAAAGATTAGAACAGTGTTTGCCTTCCTCGAGCCCCCAAGGATCTCCTATATCCTACATGAGAGTTGTTGAATATATTCATAAATAGTTCTGAGTAAAACTGAGAATACTAGTACTAGTAAAATAGCTTGTATTTTATGTGCTCTGTCTTTAATCATGTACCCATTTCCATCATTCATATAATTTCTTAAGTTTTTAAGTTCTTGAAGATGTTTTGATACAGACTTTCATTATGCTTCTCATCTGTTCTCTTCCCTGAATATCACTGAAAAACAGCTTCTTCACTAAATGTTAGCTCTCTTCCATTACCTTGTCTGTCAAATTTTCTTTTCAGGTTCAGGTTTCTTGAATTAGTTTAAACTAGCGTTTGGGTTACCTGATTTTTTCACATCTCTTGCCTTCATTCTGTTTTTCTCATTCTAGTCCTTGCACAATGTCATTTTCAGACAATTTTGCCTTCTTTTATAAACTCAGCCAACTTATCAGAAACAGAACGAAAACCCAGACAGCAAGACCTTAATACCCTTCTACACCTTTTGAAAGAAAAATTTGTTCTTAACATGTTTCAAAAATGCAAAGGATTCTGTGTTCTGCTGTTCATGTTCTAAGTTTGATTTATTTTTTAGGTGGTATCCAAGAAATTGAGTTTTCTCATACTTACCAGTTCCTGTCTTTAACTCTATTGGTCATTCTAAAAAAAAAGCGTCATTTGTCTCTTTATCTCCTATTCCAAATTAAGTAGTCTTTCAGACATTACTGTTGTAACCTCACCAGTGTTTTTCCCTTGTATTTCTACCCAGACATTATGAACTTATAAACTAATTTAGTATCAAACAATGATTCTTCATATAAAAGCAATGTTTTATTTTCCCCAGGGTTCTCTACCTGAAAAAGAGTTACTTGCTTCTATAGACTGTTTTTCCTACTCCGGACAAATACATATACTGATAACTTTCCTCCTTGTCCTACTGTGACTGAGTTCCTCCTAAAACTCCTACAGTTTTCAACTCTCACCCACTGTAGTAGGCTAAAGAGTTATATAGTGAAGTCTACCTTAAAATTTGAAAGACATCTTCAGGCCAGACTTCATCCATAGCTGGCAAACTCCCCACTTACTAAGCATAGTCATTTGAAATGGAATAGTGGCACCCAGTACCAGTGGGAAACACATGGTGTGCTGGCAGCACGGGCTACATATAAGGTTTAATTTCAAAACAGAAGTTTGTTTCTTGAAATTCTCTACTATGGCTTAGCAACTTTCATTTGTATTTCTTGTGGTTTAGCATTTCATACACACACATATACACATACATGCATACACGTACACACACACGCTATTTTTTACCATAACAAATTTTTAACAGTATCAGACACCCTAGAAAACAATTATGAAAACATATTTGCTGGCAGAAGGGCATTTTAAGGATGAGATAAAGTTGTCACTAGAATTTGAAATACTATTTTGGTGTGTATATATACAAATATAATGTATGTTTCATATAATAACATAACAAATTAAAGAAAGAATTTATTATTTTCAATACTATAACTTTATAATGATAAATAGCTATAACTAATAACTATAATATTATTACTAACAGCTATAGCAATACTATAGTATTATTTTCAATATTAGAACTACAAAGTTAAACCAAACTTTCCAGAAATAAAAGGTGTAGCATTTTCTGTTTGGAAACAGCTGTTTCAAACTCATCATCAAAACAATAAAGTTTTCAGACAAGGTGTCTGCTTCACCTGGTTGTCTATGAACCAGAAGTACTGAGCTTGCACACTGGACACTTAACAAATTTCTACCTATTGACAGCAACATTCTCTGAAGAAACACATTAAAATATTCCAGAAGACAAAGTGTTGGAATGTTAACAGACCACAGAACATCACAATCTCCTCATTCCAAATATATACAGTGCAAATATTAATTTAAAACTATGTGACAGTACACTTGTTTTAATAATTTTGTATTTTAATTTCCATATCTTAACTTTCTAGCATTAATATTCTAAAATTTTATCAATAAAAGCAAATGAGTTACATATTTACAAAAACATTTTACTTGAAAAAATTGTATTTATTTGTCAATAAATATTGACATTTACAAAATCAAAACAGTATTGGGCTTATACATATGTTTTCACCCTGGGTGGAGCAGAAATGTTCAATGCTAGCATGTGCAATTAACATATTTTAGAAGACTATGTTATAAGGACAGTTACTTGCCCTTTCTGAAACACAGGACACTAAGAAGAAGAAACACTAAGAATAATAGTGAATTACTAAACATTTTTGAACTAAAACATCTCTGGAATTTGGTTTATCTTGCCTAGTTAAAAATGCATCACTATTGATTTTAAGCTATATGTATTATTTGAAAGCTTCAACAGACAGATACTTTCAAAACCAGTTTAGAATCTTGGTTTACAAGTTGCCAAAGAGAACTGCTGCACAGGTTTTTCAATAGTAATGATTAATCCATTTACTTTGAATAAACAAAAAATTATTCCAAAAAGTGCATACTTCTGAAATCACTAGCGATCACTAAGTAGGAAATTTTTTACTGATTTTCTACTGAAAAAGTTTGGTTATGAAATGCTGAAAACAGCTGCAAAACTTCTAAAGAAAGATAGGGAAGAAAACTATAAGACATCAGACGAAAAGCCAAAATGTTTAAATTGTTTCTGGGATGGAAATAAATACCAAAGCTATTAGTTTCAGTTCAAAGAACATGTCACTTATTATTTCTTTGAAATATTTATTTTATCTTGAAATACCCAGTAAAATTATAAAACTGAAGGTGAAAAAAGAGGTGACTAACCTGATCTGGAGAGGGTCTCTGATTGGAGTGTTGTGGCCTTCCAGGAGATCGATGGTGGTGGTGGTGGTGATGGTGGTGGTAGTGGTGATGGTCATCATCATAGTTATCTGCCATCAGTTTCATTCTGTTTTGTGTCTGTTTAAGGTGTAAAAGGAGACAATTCTATTACATGGTAGAATATATTACTCTAACTGTTTTAGGAAGGTCTTAGCTCTCCCTTTTTTTTTCCCCACAAAGAAAAGGAAATAGAAATTAAAAAATATAACAAAGTAAACACACCTCTCAGTTTTCACACGAGTAGAATTGCACAAAGAAGTCAGAAAAGGATATAATCAAGGATGTTGTGTTTGAAGGGTGTCAGAGACATTCAGCTTTTCTAAATTTACTATTTTAGAACAATTTCCTATTTTTTCCAGTCTACTACTATGTCTTGCCAATTAACTTGTAAAATCTCACTGAAAGCAGTATTAAGTGTACGTCAAATAGTTATGGTTAGCTACTGAGGCAGGTCAACAACAATCATGAATAGTTATGCTAAAAGCTCTATTTTGGCCCAGGATCACCTTGCTAAACACTAAGTTAAAAGAATCTGAACACTAACCAATACAGACACAGGCACTTAGAGAAGCAAGTGATTATGGAAACTGACACATGTTATGGAACAAAAGTAAGTCTTAGATATAGATCTTCAAAAGAAGTTCAACACTTCATCTACTGCCATGTTCAGATAATAAAATCTATGTCACCATGAGATAACAAGATACACCACTGCTCTTTATCACTGTTACAATTATTCCATACCTTGAAATACATGCATTGGAATAATTCAAACCTTGCTCACAATACTAAAAATATCTTACTACCAATACCAGTGGGTACAGTCCTTATTTTTTCTGTTAGCAGGATTGAAGGCTGTCTCAGGCAAACTTGTTAACCTGTAATGAAGTTTTACTTATTTGTGCAATAATAAAACCCAGAAGAAAAAGGTTTCAACCCTCAAAGACCTCTTCCAAAATTAGAAGAGCCAATTAGAGACACATACAATTAATATCATGCAGATGACTGAAGGAAAGATTGCAGTCTTAACACACTTAATATCGTCTTCAAAAATCTCACCTGAACCCTATAGGAGAAAGGTTGTTCTTAAGGAAGTATTATCTACTTTGTGCCAGTTCTGTATGTGGACATCATCCGAGTTGGTCAAGCACAAACAAGCCTACTTTGCACATAGACACTTTTGGTGAACAGTAAAGATAAGAGACTGAAATCAATTGCAAAAAGCCACAGTTTAGTTCTACCCATGCTCCAAGCTAGCAGGATTCATGCTAACCCCAGTGAGATCACTGGCTAAACACATTACCACAGGACTTTGCCCAAACTAACGAATTCTAAAGGACCAACTTAAACAGATTATTTTAAACACAACTCATTTGTTTGAGTAGGTTCCTATATTAAGATGTTTAATTGGCTTCCACTCTGAAGTGCCCATGAGATAGCTACTATGTGGTAGATCTACTTCCAGGACTATCGTAAATTGATTTTCCTATGAGAACAGTTCTGTATCAAAACCTCCGTTAGGAAAATTTCACTGGAAAATATATTTTAATAGAAAATGTAAAAACTCACAGATTGTTATTATATTCCCCAATTTTAATGTTTATTGCTAAAGTAGAAAAGAGATTTGGAAAAAAAGGCAAACTAAATATACATATTACACAATATTTGCAGTGTAACATAATCTAATGTGAGGAAAACTATGAACCACAGAGATCACAGGAAATCCTGATGTGTTTTTTAGCAATTAATTTTTTTGAAATGTCACAATGCTTCTCAAGCACTTCACATGATGTTGATTAGAAGAATCATAGAAAACTAGTTTACAGGAGGGGACCTGTACTCAGCCCAAGTAAAAGCAAGCAACCAAACCAAAGCCTTAAGTCATCCCCAATTAAAAGGCAGAGGAACAACCACAGATCAGATGTGCACATGCTTTAGTGACTGTCAGACTATTTTGAGAATCTCTGTAGCACTAAAAGAGCATCTTCTTAGTGTGCTACAGAACAAATGTCCTCCACAGGTCAAGTGATGGATTCCGTTGAACAGGAATTGCACTGGCACTATACGGTATCATTTCACATTTTTTAACCCTATTTTCTGCACAGTTGGAACTATTTCATTTTCTCCGTCCCAGATAAGAAGATGGAAGCAAACAGCTGTACGAATTTCCTCTGATTTTGTGGAAAGACCAACTCAATCTGAATCATCATAGTTGGTCTGTTTGTCTTTAGATTCAAAGAGTGGGAAAGATAGAGAATTAACAGACAAATAATAACTCACTTGCTGTAAACACTGTAATATCCTGCCTCTTTGGGGAAGCTTCTAACATTTTATCAGTTTATTTTCTTATCAATGAACAGCCTTAAATTTCCTACCTTTCAACTGTATTCCATAAAAGAATGCAAAAGTTAAACAAGATGATATATGCAATCCTAAAAGTGTCCCCTGTAACGAGGTGTCAGGGATTAGATGTGTCATGTGATAAGAACTGTAAATGAATGATGTCATCTTTCTAATTTGGCGCTGAAATGTAAATAAACCGCTTCTAATATTTCTTCCTTTTGGATGCCAGATTGCAGTAAAATGTGCACAAAGAAATGTTAGTGCTGCAGTAGGCTTCCTTTAGTGTGCCTGTTATGGAAGCAAAACATACAAGAAAAGTGAAATGAGAGTTTCTTTTCCACTCCAGTGATCATCAAACCATCCAAACTTTATTTGTCATAAATTTCTTAAAATTATGCTAAATATTTTGCAAAATGTTATTTTTGAAAGCTTTTTGGTTTTATTTGTTAGCTCTTCGCAACGATAACTAATATGATTTTGAGGTTCTGTTTGCTTTAACTACTGTCAGAGTGTTATACTTCCACACAAACTGTATTTTTCAGGTATGCTTAGCTTTGACTCACGAAGTACAGAACAGTATGATTTCAAACTTTTAAAAGGAGGACTTTTGAGGAGGATGAACAGGAGGATTTCTGGAGGATGAACAAAAGCAAAGCCATCCAGAGGAACAATACAATCCTTTTCAGATCCTTCTAAACAAAAATCTGTAACATTACTTCTGTTCACTTCCCTTGCTAAGTCTTTGAATCTTCAGTAGGCTTTGAAATGACAGGTATATTTTTATTTGAGGAAGAAATTAATTAAGCACACTGGAATTCATTCAGAACCCCAGGGCTTCACACTCCTACACCTACATACAAGCACATACACAAACACACAGAAAGGCGTATACATTTTAGGCTGTTAGTTATCAGACAGACAGTAAACCCTTATGGTCTGGGTCCCACATCAACACATTAGGACACTGATACAGTACTGACTGCAAGGACAAAATACCACCTACTGACTTTGCAATGCCATCATTTCCTGCAACATCTTCAGCATACTTGAAAACTTCCTATTCAAGAACATCCAAGACCTTTTCTTATATGACTTTTGAAAGCACAACAGATTATTCAATATGACTTTTCTGGATAATTGGGAAACTTCTGGATAATTGGTCTTGGAATGTACAATTCATGAATATTAGAGTGATATTTGTACAGACATTTAAACTGTGCCATATCTAATTTGCATCATGTTATTCTGCATGAGTTACTCCATACCTGAAATAGTTATATTATATAGTTCAAAATTTTATTGACATTTTCCTCTTAAAACTATTATTTTTTACATTGTTTTCCTGAAAATGGGTTTTCTCAAAATTTACATAGCCACAGCTGACAACAAAATTATCATACCAACAGTTCTTTTTGAAAATGCCTGGTGAATATCAGGCCCACACCTGAGAATAAGCAGGTTTTAATTTGGATTTATAATAGCAAAGGAAAAAATGTTAACTTGTAAAATGCAACAATTAATTAACTGCATCTCCTACAGACCATGTATAGCCTTATTATTTTTAGCCTAAACAGTTTTCTCAGATTTTTTTTTTGCTTTAAATTATTGACTACATTCAATAAATACTGCACCCATTTTGAAATAAAGGAGTGATAGAGGAATTAAAAGCAGCTTAAATCTAGGTGCACAGGTATATTAACCCTTAGGGCTTGAAACAGTTGTCTTTGATCATTCAATATCACTATTTGCTAAACTGTCAAGGTCATGAATGGTATGTGTAACTGAGTTTTTAACCCACTTACCAAAGAATTTATGATCTAGTACTGTAGGAAAACTGACAGATATTTCTGGTCCTAAAGTTCTGTTGAGTTTAAGTAAGGATCTACTGAAGTGAAATTAAAGTCTTTGATTGACTGGTAACAGACCAAATAGCTTAACAGCAATCTGTAACTGTAAAACTATAATATTAAAACTGTCTTTTAAAAAATATTTTAGCAAGGTGGCAATAGGGAACTATGCTTTGATCTGTCATCTGGATCATGTTAACAACAAAACTCTCATGAATGAGGTTCAAATGAGGAAAAATAGTAAGATTTGTTGCTCTGGGATATAAGTGTAATTCCGTTCAATAGCTATTATTTTCATTTGGATTTTCTTCTCAATCTCTCTTCACTAACTAGAATTTGAAACATTTCTAGAATATTCACTTTCAATAGGGTATGACTTTTCCCTATAGAATATGGGAAGGAGGCAGATACAAGGCCTACAAGCTATTCTGGAGATATCCTGTGGTCTAATTATTAAAGGATGGAATTTAAAAGCTAGAGACCCACATTCTAGCTTTAATTCTGCAATGGCCTCTTGTGGTCATCAACGACACAGAACGTCTATTTCTTGCAATCTCCTTATTTGAAAACAAGCACGCTAACATTTCCACAACGATCTTGGATATCTTCATGTGGCAGATGTTTAGTTCTAGTCTTCCTGATTTTTACTAATTATTTCATCTGAACTTGTTTTTCTTGAGACAAAAATTTTAGAAAACACAAATAAAATATTTTTTTAAACTTTGAAATCCAGAAGGTAAGGATCTCAAAAATTGTGTGCTTAAGTCTATATAGTTCACCAATTTTATCCAAAAGTTGCACCAACTTATTGCAATTAACCTGGGTTTAATGAAAGCAAGTGCAACTGCAATTGGTTTTCCAGTATGGATCCAATGCTTCAGGCCTGAA